TTGCATATACCACAAATGCTGCTTGAAACCATCCCTTGACATCAGAGCTAAACTCCAGCTGAATTAATTTCACCCACCAAAATGTATGAATTCTCCCTTCTCCACTTGTCATTTAATTATAATTTATTCCTTTGAGAAGATATTTTCCACTTTTGGGATCAGTGCAACCAAAGTACAGGTATTACCCAAATAAGTAACAAATTAATTTTTGTTTGTTTGTTTTTCTTGTGTAGAAATTTGGTTGGAACTTGACAGTACTATTAGCATATTGGGAAAAAAAATGCAGATTGTCAAAATGCACGTTTCACACTGTAGCGCACTGAGTTTGAACAGACTTTTTCAAGCTTTTTGCTACTGCAAGTGTTACTAGTTCTTATCGTTACATGTGGAGGTGTCAGGCATATTCCATCTCTCTCTTAGAATTGTACAAGACCCTTGGGCGTTTTCTGCTGTTCTGGCTTTGCAGTTTCATAATGGAATTTGTTGCCACAAAGCGTGCACAAAGAATAGATGAAATTCCCAATAGTTGAGAAACTCAAATAACACAAGGTTTCCAGTTGTTGCTGCAGATCATTCACAGATATGAAAGTCTGTTCCTACTTTAATGGTCTCTCCATGAGGCTATTCTAGTTACACAAGCTAATCTGCACTTCTTCTTTCTCTTAAGTTTTTCTTAGAAATATAAAATGTGCTTTGGTTGCATTTTGATCCAGAATGGAAGAGGCATAATGGGGAAAATTTAAGTTGTTTTCTGTTCTATTCATGCCCTTGCCTGTACTGGAGTCCCCTTAAAAACAAGGAACCTCCTCTGGCCCCCAGTGCAAAACTGGACCTTATTCTCCGCTGAATGTTAGTGGAACATAAGTTCCTAAGCAATTTTGACAATTTTGAAGATTCTACCTATTGAGGATTTTTTTATACTTTAGAGTTAGGAATAAAATAAATAGCTGAAACTTTTACAAGCTGTAAAACTGTTGCCATGAATTACAGTCATTATTTCTATCAAAAGTAAGAGCTCCCCAGTTTGTGGTATAACAGAGTTTTGCAGCTGCTTGTATTTTGAGGCCTTAAACAACTTGTGGTAATAACATTTGAAACCTTGAAATTGAAGGCTTAACCTTCAAATTACACAGACCTTACACAGTAAAATCAAAACAAGCTTTATCTTGTACAGATTTGTGCAAGCTTTATTTCTTTTTGAAAAAAAGGCACCAAAACACACAGTACACTAATAAAGATGTTAATGTCAAGTATATGGAAACAGTTCTGAAAAAGACCAACTACTAGATTATTTTGGGCTAATAGGTGTTTAACTTAAATCTGAGAGTTACTCTGTAGATTTTCTATATTAAAAAGAGGGACAAATAAAATTTACAACTCAGTTATTCTCATCCTGTAGGACTACAGTAGTATTTCATATACTTTTTTTTTTTTTTAAAAAGAATACTCTTTTTGGTAACATTAAAGAAGGGGAAAGCAAATAAAGCAGTGCAATCTTAAAGAGATTCCTGTGAGTTACACTGCTTCTGAAATGCTGCTGACACTACCCAGAAATTGTTCCTCTGGCTATTTCTGTTGTACTCAGCAATGTCCAAATGCTGAGAGATGCTGCCTGTAGTTCGATTCCACTCATTCAGTAAAAGTAGTTTATTGGTAATCCCTCATCTGAGAGTTAAAAAGTGCTCATCTGCCCATTTAATAACATGTTTACTTAGATGTGATGCATACTCGTAAGATAGCTTCTACCCGTTGAACATAGTGAAATTTTCTTTTCTTATTAATTCCTTTGTCATGTAGAAGTTACAAGAACGACAAAACTCAAATGACTTTTAAACACTGTTACCTACAGCACTCTCCACCAGAATTAATGTTTTTTTCCCCAGGTCATGGACTTTCGAATACACATTTTACTGTAATATGCTGTGACCCGCATTTCTTGCTTCATGGCTGCATGCTACCCGACACTTCTTGAATACCAAAAGAACAGGCATTTGCATTTCAGTACATACTGCCCAACAGGCTAACCAATGTACCTTTTAAAGTTCAGGTACAAAAATGAAATAACCCTGTAAAGAGCAGTGGTTTTAGACTGAAAGCTGAAAGGGGTTTCATCTAAAACTGTTCTTAAGATCTCTGTGTAAGAAACAATTTTTAGAGATACTGAGCTTCTAGTGACTTCCTTGAGAATGTCAAGGACTCTGTAAATTATTGCTTCTGAACACCTGTACTTTCCACCAAGTGTGTGTGCATTTCACTACTTTGTCATGGCCAGAATTCAGTACTCGTATATAAAAATTGGTGGAGAAATATTAAGAGTACACAGGGAAATTAGTCATTGGATGCCATTATAGGGAGAAAGAAGGTAGTAAAGAGCAAGAGTTTAATTTAGGAATTCTGACTTGTCATCCTGAGGACCTGCTCTTTCTCTCCACTAATCACAGACAAAGTCTTAGTGTACTATGTAAGCAAACTGAGCCTACAATTGAGCGATATGAATTTTCTCCATAAGCATGTCTGTGGATGATTTTAATAATTATCAGGTAAAAATTTGTAATACATAATCTTTGGGCACAGAAAAATGGAGGGAACGTCGTGCCTTACCTTGTGTTCAGGCAGTAGAATGCATTTAATTGTATAAAGCATTTACCTGAGCTCACATGAGTGTAGAATAGTATCTATATAATTCTATAATTATTTTCTAACTCCTATTAAGATCTTGCTTAGATCCACATTCTTCAATGTATTTTTAGCATCACAGAAACATCTAGGTTGGAAAGGACCTTGAAGATCACCCAGTCCAACTGTTAACCTAACACTGACAGTTCCCAACTACACCATATCCCTCAGTGTTATGTCAACCCAACTCTTAAACACCTCCAGGGATGGGGACTCCACCACCTCCCTGGGCAGCCCATTCCAACACCTAACAACCTGTTCTCTAAAGAAATGCTTCCTAATATCCAGCCTAAACCTTCCCTGGTGCAACTTGAGGCCGTTACCTCTTGTCCTATTGCTTATTACTTGGTTAAAGAGACTCATCCCCAGCTCTATGCAGCCTTATTTCAGGTAGCTGTAGAGGGTGATGAGGTCTCCCCTCAGCCTCCTCTTCTCCAGACTAAACACCCCTAGTTCCCTCAGCCGCTCCTCATACGACCTGTGCTCCAGACCCTGCACCAGCTCCGTTGCCCTTCTCTGGAAATGCTCGTGTCATTCAATGTCCTTTTTGTCGTGAGGGGCCCAAAACTGAACACAGGAATCGAGGTGCGGCCTCACCAGTGCCGAGTACAGGGGTAAGATCCCTTCCCTGTCCCTGCTGGCCACGCTATTGCTCTCATAAGCCAGGATGCCATTGGCCTTCTTGGCCCACTGGGCATACTGCTGGCTCCTGTTCAGCCAACTGTCAATCAGCACCCCCAGGTCCCTCTCTGACTGGCAGCTCTCCAGCCACTCCTCCCCAAGCCTGTAGCGCTGCTGGGGGTTGTTGTGGCCCAAGGGCAGCCCCCAGCATTTGGCCTTATTGAAACTCTTCCAGTTGGCCTCAGCCCATGGCTCCAGCCTGTCCAGGTCTCTCTGCAGAGCCTCCCTACCCTCGAGCAGATCAACACTCCCACCCAACTTGGTGTCACCTGCAAACTGACTGAGGGTGCACTCGATCCCCTCGTCTAGATCATCAATAAAGATGTTAAACAGGAGTGGCCCCAAAGCCAAGCTCTGGGGGACACCACTTGTGACCAGCTGCCAACTGAAGAACCTTCAGGACCTAACAGCATGTTAGCTCCTGAAAAAGGGCATGAAGGACTTCCTTTTAACTTCACTTAAAAAAATCGCAACCAACAACCAAACAAACCCTAAGTCTTTTGGAAACCCTCTACTCCACATTTGCTAGTGCAATTTCTCTTTCAAGCCATGAAAACAAAATTCTACAGCAATGACTTATAAAAGACAAAAACCCCACAGAACTATACATAACTAACTGTGAAAGTAGTATGCCTTGCTTTCTGCATGCACGGTAATATCTACTTCTCTTTGTGATGAAGGTTTAAAGATAACACTGGCAAAAAATGTACGTATTAAAAAAAAAGTATCATTTTAAAGGGAGCCATGACAAGAATATGACACATTTTCCTTTAGAGTGTGAAATCTTTCGTGTTAATCTAGAAAGCTTTCTAAACTAATCACTTCTAAAAAGAGATTCTTTAATACTTGCAGGATAAAGTAACTTTCTTAGAGATATTAAAGCACATCCTACTGTGAGATACTTTGTTAATGGTATACTGGTTTTGCTGTTGAATGCCTTTACACAGAGGCCATGTCAGTCTAGATTTTCTTAGTTGCCTTCCTAAAATCCATGTTGCTGGTGCTTGAGTGTATTATTGTTAATTTGTCTTCCTTAAATGCTTATTGGTTTTTCCAAAGTGAGATCAGATATCTGTGATATCCTTTGGAAGTTCCTGATGGATATAATGGTTATTCTCTCTTTGGCAGTGAAATCTGCATGTTTAACCTTCTCACAGCTATCTAAACGCATGTTGTGACAAATAGGAATGTACTTGAAGAAATTAAATTCTCTGTGTATGTGTGACGAAATACTCATGCTTCATATTAAATAAAATGTACACAAATTTGGACACAGTTATTTGTATAGCCTTAGAGTGCTGTGAAATATAATTTGAAATGTCATTTAAGAGTCTATGTATATGAGCTTGATGACTGAATTGTGACAGATTTCAGGTGACTGGCACATGCCTGATAGGCAGTTTGTTTTTTGATCATCAAGTTTCACAGACCATTGAAACAGAAATCCTTATATTCTAATCAAGGCAGAATTGCCTTGATTACATTAAATTATAAAATTGTCTTGATAGGGTAATATTGAGAGCTGAAAATTGGTGATTTCTGTTATAACATGTTAATAACTGTGTAGTAGTGGGGTTGAGGTAAACAGAAAAGGAAGAGAGTGCACAAATAATTGAAAGGAAAACTGTAATATTTTTATGATAATATCAGGGTAGGAAAGGACACTCAAAGTAACCCAGTGTCTTCCAGATGGGACTCCTTCAGCAATGTAACACTCTGCTTTCCTGGTTGTTCTTTGATATGCAAAGATTTCCAGGAAATCTTTAAAGAACTTGGAGTTCTGTTCATTTTGTTCACATCAGATGCTTTCAGTTGTTTAAGGCTTTCTTTGACTTCAGTCTCAACTCTGAATTCCCTAGGTTTCTAAGAGATTGTTTTATTGCTGATTATAACATTTCTATATAACAGCTTTTTCTTCAAAAAAATCCCAAACAAACAACAAACAAACCAAACCCCTAAAACAAACCCCATAACAATTGCCCCTCTGAAGCATGATCTCTTGCTTAATGAAGCAGCATTTAGGAAGAAGTGTTAGTTGTTTGGATTTTTTTCTTTTTTCCCCACGTCCTACTTCCTAGCCATTGTACTTCATGGATCAGATGCCAGCACCCTGCTCTGGGTAGTTCTGAAGTTACTGATACTATCTGAGTTAGTAGTTAGTGAGTAATGGCATGTCACCTAAAAAGCTTATTGGTGTTAGATTTAGGATATAAACTAGCTTATTCTGAGTTAATCTGCTACTACAGGAAACATTTATCAAGAGGACTTCAGTCCAATTTGCCCTATTTGTGAATGGTGTAACTGACTTTCTTTGTTTTTCGTACAGGAATTGTTTCAATTATGACTCTCACTGTTCTTGCCTATGAACGCTACATTCGAGTAGTCCATGCAAAAGTGATTGACTTCACTTGGTCTTGGCGTGCTATCACATACATCTGGCTCTACTCATTAGCCTGGACAGGAGCACCTCTTTTGGGCTGGAACAGATACACATTGGAAATTCATGGATTAGGGTGCTCAGTGGACTGGAAGTCAAAAGACCCCAATGACACCTCCTTTGTGCTCCTTTTTTTCCTTGGCTGTCTAGTAGTACCTGTTGGGATCATGGCCTATTGCTATGGCCATATTCTGTATGCAGTAAGAATGGTAAGTTAATTCAAATAAGACTTCTCTTAATGTAATCTTTCCGGTGAAAAATGTTGATGTTGTACAATAAGCTTGGATCAGAGCCTATATTTGCACTCTCACTTTTTGTTCTATGTCAGGCACCACTAGAAAGGATGTAGGGTTGGAGGAGAACCAACCTAGAGCTACCAAGGTCTATTTGTTGTGTAGTTTTACTGGGAGGCAGGTTGGGGAACTGCTCGTGCTCACCAATCTGCATCAGATCTTCCCTTGAAAAGGAAGAAAAATAAAACTCTGTTAGCAGTTCTCCTTATTAAAGAACACTCTCTTCTACTTGCCACTCTGGAGAAGAAAACTGTAAACCTCTTCCAAGTGGAGATTAAGCCCTGTTAAAACAGTTTTATGTGTTAAGGCAACCCATTTTAATTCAGTCCAGATCTTTAGTGTCAGAAAGTGTTAATGTTTCATATTTTGTGGGTAACTAGTCTGGACCTATTCAACCGTGGTCAACAGTATTGGCACAACTGATAGCTGTTATGGGGAATGCTCACATACATGTCCCATCTTTTCTTCCTTACATGACTCAGATAATACTGGGAACCTGCTGCCTAGTATCCTGTTTTAAATAGAGATTTTGTAATTTTAGAGTAACAAACTATGTGGCAGAGCAGTACTGAGAAATCTATGAATTTTGTGTCATGAGCAATCTTAAGGGAGAAGAAAATCTACAGGATTGTCTTAACTAGTCAGACAAAGAGTGATTAAATGTATACTGAACTTGCTTATGTCAGTGGATGAGGGCAAATTAGTCTTCCAAAATACTTACCATTATAAGTGCAGCATGTTTTGTTACATCACTGGATTTGTTGTTTTTCAGTAGATTTGCTATTCTGGTTTTCCTCAGATTAATTTTTATACTTTATATACACAATAAAAGTCTGGGAAGCACGATGCAAACTTCCAGAAGAATTGTGGTTCATAAGGTATATAGTGTCTGTACCTAAAACTAAATTAATGGATTAGTTATGTATAAATAAATGTAGAACTCTTCAGTTTCAAGTAAATATAGAGCTATTTTACTTATCCTTTTCTTCTACAGCTTCGCTGTGTGGAAGATTTCCAGACTGTTCAAGTGATTAAACTTCTAAAATATGAAAAGAAGGTGGCTAAAATGTGTTTCTTAATGATCTCTACATTCCTTATTTGTTGGATGCCCTATGCAGTGGTCTCCCTCCTGGTAACATATGGCTACAGCAACCTTGTAACTCCAACAGTAGCTATCATTCCATCTTTCTTTGCCAAGTCAAGCACTGCTTATAATCCAGTCATCTATATCTTCATGAGTAGAAAGGTAGGTACATCAAAGATTTTCTTTCTTGAATAATTAGTATCCAATGCCACTGTTGTTTAGCTCTGATTCACTTTAATCTGTAAAACTAAGATGATTTTTTTTTTCTTTCATTTGAACAGCTGGGATAAATGGTAAAGATCTAGTAGAATTAAAATCCTTGATGGTGCTTAAAGCACTGTCTTATCAGAAATTGGATTTTCTATGTTTGAATGCAGGCATGAGCACTCACATGAAAGAGAGGGGAAGGAGTGTCAAAATTTAAGTGTCTAGTTTTGACAGTTTACCCATGAAATAGATTACAACTAGAAAACCTCATCTGAATCACACCCTTACCTCAACAGAGCTCCATCAGAGAAAACTCAGAATATCTAGTGTCTGTTTTTTAGGAAGACAAAACTTGCCTCTGACCAGTTATGGCAACACAAGATTGAACAACTTGGCATAGTATTTCAGATATTACACCAGTAACATTTCTCAGAGTTTCATTGTATTCAAAGTCAGAATCTCATGTGGATGACAGTGAAATGTTTTTTTTGGGGGGACAGTTTATATACTGTTAAGAATACATACTTATCAATGAAAAACAAGTTTTTATTTTTGTCTGCTTTTGTAGTCTTTATTATGAAAAGTAGGCTGCTGATTTAATGGTGGTAACTATCTCATTTCAGTGCTTTACAGAGCAGAGAATGGAAGTATTTGGAGCTATCAGCAACGTGTCAAATATGTGGAAAATAAAGGACTATATATCTTTCTGTAAATCATCAGTACTCTGAAGATAACCACTGAATGCAATTAAGCAGTGCTGGTGAATTATTTAGACATTAAAATATCTTCACTGTGACCCACAACACTTAAGTGAACGTGTAATATGCACATTGTAAACTTCTGAAGCCAAGATTGTATAGAGTTGAAGTTATCTGCAGTTTAGTAGAATCTCTTGGCAAAGGATTAAAAAACCAAGAATGATTGCTAGAAGGATTTCCCTGGTTTTTCATTACCTTTTAGCTCATTATAGAGATGGAATTTTCAGTGACTGCTTACACTGATATGCAATTGCCAGGCAGCAGCCTGAGCCAGCCAGCAGTCTGTAGAGACAAGGCAGCCAAGTCAGTGTGTGAGATCAGCCAGGTAGGCAGCCAGGGAAAGGCGGCGCTGCAGCTCAGGCCAGGCCCGAGGGAGTGCAAGGGTGAGCTGAAATGCTGTTCCCGAGCAAAGGCAGGAGGCCCCCAGTGTGGCATCTTGATTCTCATCCCCTACAGCATACTTCACAGCAGGTCGATGTAAGTTAAACAGCTGCACGATACAGCTGGCCTGGATATGGGGAGCTAACAACAATCATGTTCAAAAGAATTTTTTTTTTTTTTTTTCAACAGAGTGATTTTTTTAATACAGTGGCACTGACTCTCTACCTAGATGCTGGATTGAGTAGTTTATCAGAAAGGTTTTGTATCTTCTGATAGCCAGAAACAAATCAAACTGGTACCAGGCACAATGCCAGTAAAGTCATAGACAGGCTAAGAATGAATCAGCTGAACATGCTTGTTGGAGTTGTGTTGTAAAGTACTTCTCACTCACCTCTAATTCCAGATTAAGACCAAAATGATAATATTTTTTCTTATCTTCTGAGTTATTGTGCTTCCAGAAGGAATCCTAAAACCCTTCTCTATAATATCCTTCTTCTATCTGATCTGTTTTAACATGCTTGTGCCTCTCACTTCTGTGCTACTCAAAGGTACCACTTTATCTCTGAAATCTTCAAGGCCTCCACATGACCATTCTTTTGCACCAGATTATTTTTCTCTGTTATCTTGTGATTTTCTAAATCCTCCTTCCCAACAGGACCTGTTGCCTCCCCTGCATCACAGTTGGATTAATTTCCTATAACAAAACCTCGTTCCAAACTGGCATGTTAGAGAGCTTCTTGCATAATAGCTGGGAAAACAAAGTTACTGGCCATGCAGGATAATACAGAATAATCCTTAAAATAGCTAGATGGGAGGCTGTTGAGAAAGGTGTCCTACTCCCTTTTCAGAGAAAAGGTGGCTTGTTTCTCCTCCCACTCTGTTTGTGGTGGTTTTTTTTGTTTGTTTGTTTTGTTTGTTTTTTTTTGTTTTTGTTTGGTTGGTGGGTTGTTGTTTTTGGTTTTTTTTGTCCTCTTCATACATTCCAGACATGTCTTGTTATGGTTTATTAAAGGAGGAGTAAGCTGCTCACTTTTTTCGTAAAAACAGAGGATTTCCCCAAAGGATCGTGTTTGAGCTTTAGTTGTGTGCAGACATGGAACTGCTGAATGCTTTGCTTTGTGAAGGGGAGACCATAATTGGAGCATTTAAAACAGCACTACTAGTGGAACTATCATTCTGTACACTGATGTGAGCTTTCACTGAATACCTTGCATTATTTAGTCACAAGGTAGAACAGATTTCCTGTATCATAAGTGGTTCCTATTTAGCTGAAAGACTTAGCAGAAAGTGTAAAATTTCATTTTACATCTATGACATTCAATGTTTTTGTTAGAATTCCAGACCCTGGAGTTACTTAAAAGGAAGAAAACATCACTTTGTATCCCCTTCCTCCCCTCATTCCTTTCATATGTGAAATGTTTCTGAGAATATTCTTCCCCAGCTTGATCGAATGCATGATTTTTGAATATAAGAACAATACCTATGGAGCCTAGTCTTCTTGTTTTTTGCAGACTGTTGATTGTAAATCTTGCCGCTGGTAAAATATGAAATTGCATTTCAGTGCCCTCTGCTGGCCAGGTGATCCTGTTCAGCTCTTTGGCCTAGAGAAAAAAGTACCCCCCCCAAAAAAGCTACCATGTTTCTTACAGCACTGAAGGTAACTTGGAACCAGGAGATACCTTGATAAGGACATAGAGTGTGTTATCAGTAAATTCACAGATGACACCAAGTTAAGCGGGAGGGTCAATCTGCATGAAGATAGGGAGGTACTACAGAGAGACTTTGATAGATTGGATCGGCGGGCCAACGTTAATGGGATGAGCTTCAACAAGGCCAAGTGCCAGGTCCTGCCCTTGGGCCACAACAACCCCCTGCACGGCTACAGGCTTGGGGAGGTGTGGCTGGACAGCTGTCTGGAGGAGAAGGGTCTGGGGGTTCTAACTGACAAGTAGCTGAACATGAGCCAGCAGTGTGCCCGGGTGGCCAAGAAAGCCAACGGCATCCTGGCTTGTGTCAGAAATAGTGTGACCAGCAGAAGTAGGGAGGTGATAGTCCCCCTGTACTCTGCACTGGTGAGGCCACACCTGGAGTATTGTGTCCAGTTCTGGGCAACTCAATATGAGAGAGATATCAAGGTGCTGGAGCAAGTGCAGAGGAGGGCAACGAAGCTGGTGAAGGGCCTGGAGAATAAATCCTGTGAGGAGAGATTGAAGGAGCTGGGACTGTTTAGTTTGAGGAAGAGAAGGCTGAGGGGAGACCTCATCACTCTCTACAACTACCTGAAAGGACATTGTAGAGAGGTTGGTGCTGGTCTCTTCTCACAGGTGATTAGTGACAGAACAAGAGGGAATGGCTTTAAACTGCAACAGGGGAGGTTCAGACTGGACATTAGGAAAAAATGTTTCACAGAAAGAGTGGTCAGACAGTGGAATAGGCTGCCCAGGGAGGTGGTGGAGTCACCATCCCTGGATTTGTTTAAGGGTCATTTAGAGGACATGTTGGGGGATATGGTGTAGGGGAGAACTTCGTAGCATAGGGCTGATTGTTCGACTCGATCCCAAGGGTCTTTTCCAACCTGATTCTATGATTCTATTCTGTGATATGCAGAAATATGTTGAGTCATTTACTGTACTGCCATCTTCACTGGATTGTACACAATAGTGAATGCTTAGGAAGCTGTAACTTCATTCTATTTATTCTCTCTTGCAGTTTCGACGGTGTCTTTTGCAACTCCTGTGCTTTCGATTGATGAGATTCCAGAGGACTGTGAAAGAGATACCAGCAACGGGGAATGACAAACCAATACGACCAATAGTTATGTCTCAGAAAGGAGGGGACAGGCCTAAGAAGAAAGTGACTTTCAGCTCTTCTTCTATCATTTTTATTATCACCAATGATGACACTCAGCAAATAGATGACGACAGTAAATACAATGGGACAAAAGTAGATGTCATCCAAGTAAAGCCATTGTAGGGATGAGCTGAAGAGATGTGAGAATGAGATGGACTTCAGCCAGTAGACTGTTCAGGTTGGAGACCAGTTTCAGTGGCAGTGGTGGTCAGACTGCCAAGGGAAACCACATTCTTAAGCTGTGAAATACTGAAGGGATTCTGCATCTGAAGCTCTTTAGGCAGTTCAGTTTCGGTCACAGTACTGAAATCTCTGCATCTGTGCCAAAATTGCTGATGATGTCTTTACTCTGAATTTTCTTAAAGTATATTGTAGGATCGCCATTCAGGAGAACTTGGTCAGGCTGGAGGAATGCACTGACAGAAATGTTACGAAGTTCAGCAAGGACAAGGGCAAAGTCCTGTTCTTGAGAAGGAAGAAGGATGCTGCAGCACAGGAGGCTGGGCCCTGGCTGCCTGGGATGCAGCTTTGTGGAAAAGGAGCAGGGCATGATCCTGCAGTGTGCCCTGGCAGAAAGGAAGGACCTCAGCATCCCAGCCTGTACTGACAGGATCAGAGCCAGTAGTCTGAAGTGATTATTCCCTTGACTCAGCCCTCACTAGATCACATCCAGTTTTGGGATTCCAATACAAGAAAGACATCTGTAAATTGGGGTGAGATCAGGCTAGTCCCCCAAGATTGTCAGGGGTTGTAGTACTTGGCCTATGAGGAGAGGCTGGGGGAGCTGCACTTGGAGAATGAGATAAAACCTCTTCAGGGAAACCTGATAGCAACCCTCCAGCAGAGACCAATAGGTCTTCAACATGATGGAACTAGGTTCTTCAGGGTTACTCATAGTGGAAGGACTACAGACAACAAGCATGAACTGAAACAAGAGAGATTTGGATGGGCTATAAGGCAAATTCAGCCCAAGAACAGCCAAGCAGTTGAACAAGTCAGGCTAGAGATTTCCTGAGGTTCCTTCCAGCTTCAGTCATCCTGTGATCCCTGAACTGCCACCATTCCCAGTGGTTATCAGGGAAGAAGGAGGAATGTTTGAAGTTGTCTGTACTTAGTTGGTCTGAATTGGTGCTTTTCAGTGTTGAGGGTGGGAAAAGTGGTGTCTGGGGTTATGGTTAAACCAGCAGCCCCAGAAAGCTGTCCCTGTGTACTCAGCAAGCCATTCACATGGTGCTACCTCATAGGACCTCTGAGCTACATAGTGAAGAAAATCATGCAAATCAAAGCACCAATGAAAAAAGGTCAGTGAAAAGGGAGGACTGGATTTTGTTGTTGTTACAATGTGTGCTTTAAGCATCTTTTATCTTGCATACATTAATTTTGTGCATGGAGCAGGAGCATCATCCTATATCAATCCTGAACCTGCTCTGGCATTCTGAAAGTAACAATTAGAGAAGAGCAGGGTAACTTTTGCCTAAGTTGCAGCGTGAGTAATGATTGTCTTACCTGGAGCTTAGTAAACAGGACAGATAGAGATTTTCAGGTTTTTTCCCTTCACCTTTATAAGTGTTGCTGGTACAAAGTGGTGACAGGATTCTGCCCCAGACATGGCTTCCTGTCAACATTGGGTAAGTTAGAGAGCTAATTTTGAATTATGGTGGCTGCTTCTCTACCACATCCATTGTACTGGTGTAATTTCTATGCCTCAGTCTGCTAAATGGGCAGTGTGGATCTGCAACATGCAGCTTTTCTGTCTCTGTGAAAGCTCTAAGAAAAGCAGTTAAGAAAATACTTGCTTCCTCTGGGGACAAATCTTCTGAGAGGTATAAAGAGAACATGCTATAACTGTTGGCACTGTAGCCATTGGTCCTGCAGTCAAGAATTAAACTTCAAAAATAAATAGAAAAAAAGAATCGGGGTCTAAATGTAGAAGCTTTCAGCTAGTTCCTGGGAGTAGGGAGTGACCTCAACTCAGAACAAGTGTCTTTGTGCTTATGACTGTGCTTTTGAAAAGGCAAGTTTCATATATGTGCATCTCTTTAGAGCTGGTAAACTGTCTCTCTGTCATGTTTAAAAATGCATCCAGAGTCCACTCTGGTTTCTAGATTAAATCATATAATCTGAGAAAAAACAGATGATAAATACTTATCTTTGTTTCTTTCATATTTGTTATTTTTGTTTTGCTACAAATGCATAGATAAATTGTCTTACCGTGTCAAAGATCTGCACTTACTAAAGCATGTTCATTGCAATGTCAAGAACTGTTTTCAACCAGTGATCTATGCACATATATATATTTACAAAAGGAGAAAGATGTACATTACCATTCCATGTAATGATTCCATCCTTTTAACAAAATGTTTGACATTTTTAGTGTTTTAGTGTTTTCTGTATATTGAGCCTTCAATGAGTGATTAAATGTACCTTATTTATATCAATGTGTTCTTGGTGAAATATTTTTTTTCCCCATTGAGAGGGAGATGGTTTGGTATTGTCACTTGTTGGATACAGCTTTAAGGGTGGTATTAGGCCCTGAGAAAACAATAGCATTTAAGAATTCCAGTTGACCTTTGTAAAGGACAAGTATAGTGTCTATAAGGAGGAACTATCCACTGTTCAGATTTATGAAAGTAAAATTTCAGTAATTAACAGGATATGATATTTTAATAATTGATGTGCAACTTATTTACCACTACAATACAAAGCACACTAGCAATAATGTAACGATATAGGAAAACTAAACACTAAAAATTGTTGTAAATTTGTTATCTTGGCTACTTTGTGTAAATTGTGGCCTTAAATGATAAATTTTGTCAACTGTTTGAGGTAACTTACTCAGGTAAGAACTTGAGGTTCTTACAGACCATAAAATATGACTGATTTTGTAAGTGTAGCCTTGTAAATTTAGCATGCTGCAGTCCTATTTGCTCATCTCTTAAGCTTAACTATTTTCTGTGGGTAACTGCATCACTGATGCACAATTCACACCCTGCTACAGAATTTAAGTATTGTAACGGTCTTTGAGTATCACTAGGTTATTTACAGATTTGTTTTTTTAAAAAATTTCAAGCCTGGTTTTGGTCTGTTCTGGGGGTGTCGCAACTGGCTAGTTTATTATAGTGGGGATGAAGAGACTTACACAGGACCTTTCTCTCCCATTACAGGGAATGGAAGAGGAAGATGGTTAGCATTAACATTTGGACCATTAGCTGTTCCTGAAGTAAGAGAAATGCAGAAATAACAAAGAGGAGGAAGAGAAAGTGTGAAGGGCAAAAGGATAAGAAGAGATGAGAAGGTTACATTATGAACATTTAAAATAAACTAGCTGGCAAGAACTTTCATGATTCTGTCATGCAAAGGGAAATGGCAGGTATGGTGAGTACCATGATAGCCTCAGAGACAATTAATTTCTCTTAATGATGTTTCATTAATTTAATGCATTACAGGAAAAATGCATATGACGATTTCGCTAGAATGCCATTTGTAACCTTCAAATGCAGGAGCCTCGGTTACATTGCCTCCCAGCAGCTGGTGCGTTAAGACTCTGTTGGGAGGCAGTTCTGCATCTCCTTCATGCTGGGAAAAGGATCCTCTCTCACCCTGTGTTTTGAGGCAGTCATGAATCCTGAAGCTTGTCCACTGATATGCCAGTGCAGGGGCTTCTGCTGGTGGCCCAAATCCCATGGAAACAAGAAACCATGGGATGTGTGGGGTAGATCTGCTCCACAGCCTTGTGACCTTCCTCCTTTTTTCAACTCCCAGAAGCAGCTAGATTTATACTATATGTATCTGACTTCATGCAGAAGAGTCAAGTCTTATACTGTTAAGACATTATCTTTTATCACTATGATTACGTCAAGAGATCAGTATTCACAAGCTTTATTCTTTGTGCTCCTGTCCTTTGCATAACAGCAGTATCCTGATGCTGTTTCTTGCTCAAGTACTGCAGCAACTAAGTGAAATGGATATCGAAGCACTATATTGTGCCAAACCATCCAGAAAGAACAGCCTTTAAGAATACATTTATCCTTGGCTTATATAAACGACCTTCAGCTCAAGAATGGAATTTGAGTGTATGATGTTCAGAGGTAAGAGATGAGAAAAATCTGACTATGATGGTGGCAGATTTCACAAACTCGTATTTGATCCACATATAAACATCTCAGTTTGAAAATAACTGTTGTCAGGTATTTCTTTTTCAGTCTATTTTACCACAGTAAAGGAGCCTTATTTTTGCCTCTCCTTAAGGAAAAGAGGAGGAGGGGGGTGAGGCTGGAACAATTCCAGAGGGTGGGGATGCCCATTCCTACTGCTATTAAAGGTTAGGAGTAGGTGCCCCTTTTGAGTTGGATGGGTACTTGCACATGCCCCAGTCCCTCCCTCGGTGGCAGCAAAAGCAGGATGAAAAGCCGGAGGGAGAAGTGCACAGCTGACCTCCCTTTCTTCTGCCACAGGCAAGTGCTGCAGCCTCTTCGTTCCAATTGTCTGACACCCAAGGCTGCTTTGCCTGCTGTTCTGGCCTGGCTCTGCATTTCATCTATCCAGCTCAAGCTGAACGTTATGAATGCCTTTCTCTCTCTCCCTCTTTACCAGATTAGTATTGAAGAATTACTTGTAACGCATTAAAGCTGAAGAGGAAATTAAATCGATTTTCAGTACAAATTAGAATGCAGGTTATTAGCAACAGACTTGGCATCAAACGCTGCCTGGACCTGGCTCTTCAGCCTCTCATTTCGTTACATTTTCAACAGTGTTTGCGCTCCCTCTTGTGGTTTGCTCAGCCCGGTGCTAGTTGATAGAAGAATGTGCCTGGCCTTCTAAAAACCTGTTTTCATTACATATTTCCTCTGCATATGGGAAGATTCGCTGTTTTGCGTCTATTATATTTTGTTTATATTGCATATACTTCTGTCTTTGAAAATTACGGGAAATAGATATCTGTAAATAATAGGAAACCTTGCCTGTCACAGTGATAATTTGAGGACCTTATGTCTGCACGTTCTGGAGAACGCAGCCAGATAGAAGGCTGGTTGTATAGATTGTGTAGGCATGGTGCTGGAGCAGCATATTAAAGTGCTTCTAAATCCATTTTTTGCCTCGCTGAAACTTTTTCCAAATGAAGGTAAAATTCCATCTGTTACTTCTGAAGGCAGCCTGAGGTCTGCTCTGAGGGAGAATAAAGTATATGCATATTATATGTTAGCCATGTGAGTTTTCACCAGTCTATAGATAGATGATTGAGTCTGAGGCCAGGGTATAGTGTAGAATTATTAAACCTTACTTAATAGGCCTTCTGCCACCCTCTTCTTTATTTATATTATCTGAATTTCTATTATACTAGGGAGCTTCCAGGTGTAGCTAAAATGGTATTTTGTATCTGTGATGGATGGATCTGAGAGAAATGAGAAAATACTCTTAATCTTTACATATCCCATTGTCTTCATTGTTTATCTAATTGATTTGCATCAGTATGCCCTCAACACTGTGCCGTTCATTTGGTTTGCTATTCTGGTGAGAGGTGTGCATTGAGTACATGGGATGGGCCATGGCAGATATCTTTAACAGTATCTGTGCAAATTTCATCTGCAATTACTCTTTTCTAAGGCATGCTGAAGTCTTCAGAAAGAGGCACTTGCACAGTTGGGCAATATTTTCTTACCTTATGCCAAATACACATTTATTTTAGCACCCTTTCAGTAACATGTCTGCCAGCTGGATCTGAGGAGAGCTTAAAGTACTCTTGACGGGTTGTTGAACATCAATTCTAATTATTCTCCTAGAGGTGAAATTCAGAAGAGGATTTTTGTCCACTTCAAACTATCTTTCAGCACTGAACTTTAAAGATATTCTGGATACACAGTGTTAGTACAGCATCTATGTACATTACACAATACCAGTCTACACCTCCATTTCATACTATGGCTTCTATTAATCATGACTCGTGGCTTTGTAGAGATAGTTGTAAAATAAATATTTTCTTTGAACCCATCAGAAAACAACAAAACTTTACAAATCAGAACTATATATGGTTTTCAGTTGTCTGAAAGTGTCTAAATGAAGGGATGCTAGAACAGGAGAGGGGGTGGGGAAAAAAAGGTGTAGGGTAGGAAGACATTCTTTTCAAAAATGCTAGAACAATGCTTGCTGTTTTTTTCTAGTGTGAGGAGGTGATGGTAGCCATATGACTAGTACACACTTAGGATGTTTAAGAGTACATAAGAGTGTCTAGAGATGCTAAATAAATAGTTAAAGTATGGCTACACAAAACAGTCCAACTTCATGAATATTAGTTATATTTAAAATTAAGCTAAATATTAGATATGCTTTCTCTCCTGCCCTGAAGCTATTTCTATTAAAGTTAATAGCGTGTCTGGTTTCCTGACCTATAGCGTGTCTGAGAATTGCTATGAAATGTACTGACAGTGGGGAGCATTTGCTTTAGTAACTATTGAAATAGCTTATTGATACTTATTGCTGCAATAATGTGTCATAGAATAATACATATTTACTTTGAGTTTTCTCTAACTACATTTTATACAACTATACCCTGAGCTGGGTGTAAAAGACACTCAGCTTTTAAAAGAAACCTGCAGGATCATACGCTGCCAATTTCCAAGGTGAAAAGAGAAATCAGTGATTAGAAATGGACATGTTGCTGCCTAAAGCAGACAGAATGTTTCCCAGGAAGAGTACATCCCAAGTCTTACCTTTTGAGCATCATCTCCTAATAACTGGTCCTTCAAGCACTACAGAGAGACATATAAATGTTCATAACTTTCTTGGAACAACAGAAATCATGGCTAAAATGTCACATATATGTAACCATGTCTTCCTTTATCTAGGCTTTATTCTTTGAAATTTAATTTTTAGACTAACAAAGCACTGCTTTTTCTGAGTGAAGGCTCTTCCATATTCCTAGTTTTTCTGGTTTTCAACCAATTATATTATTCTTTCATTGAGATTGCTTTCTGTTAGAACAGAAAGTCTCAAATGTGTGGATTCTGATGAGTAAAGAGGGATTCACAATATGCTTGAGATTACCTTATTGCAAAGAGTTTGTGAAGAAAGCATCAATTTGAGAGTGGGGAAAGGGACTGAACTGGTATCTACAGAAATTTTTAAGACAATGCTGTAAAATGAGACAGCATTGGCATGTACTTTAATATATCCGTACATGTATTTTGCACATAATACGTGGTTCTATCAGGACATAAGGGTTTCATTCTTCCTGAGAATATGTCAGCTTTACTTGGAAACAGCTTGAGATGTGCATCGATTACATAGCAAGACCATTTTTTATCCAAATAAGTGTCACCCTGCAGAGGGAGCTGTTGGGTTATCAAGCCAAATAGGACTTTTTTCTCTTTATTGCTGGAGTTTGACTTTTGTGTATTTGGTTTGTCATGTGGTTGGTTTTTGGGTTTGTTTTTTATAGTGAGCTTGCATGAGTGTTTACAGATTGAGTTTTCTTCAGGCTTTGCTACATTTTGCAGAAGCTCATCTCTTAAACTAGTTTGTCCTTCCTAGAGGTGACAATTACATGCTTAGTGCTTTCTCTACGAATGAAACAAGATAGGAAAAGAGGTCCATCCTGTTCCAGAGTACCAAGAACAATACTTAATTTGGGTAAAATGCAGCAGATTTCACCAGGCTACAAGCTGTCCAAGTGTCATATCTGGGTGTAGTGTGTCCTGTGCAGATGGGAGCAGCATTCTGCTCTGACTGAGGAAAGGAGAACTGAGTTACTTTCATGGGAAAGAAGACTTCACCACCAGGGAGTCTAATGTAACATGCACAGAGAAGACACGGGCTTTACAGGATTTGTTGGTGTTTCTAGTCAATTATATTGTACCCCACCATTGCTAGACTTCCCCAGAACAGGAGGGCTTCTCTCCCGGTTGTTCTTTGCCAGTTTACTGCGGTGACTGTGTCTGGCTTTGCCTCAGATGTTGGCAGTAGACACATGCTGAATTGTTATTATGTCAGACTGACAATTCCCTTGGGAAGCTAAAGCTGTTCCATTTGTATTGTATGTGGACTCAACTGGAAGACATAGACCTATTCTAAGAGATTTTTAATTGCAAATAGAGCTTCAAGAGATCTTTTATGCTACAGCATTATACTACTTGTAAGTGAACATCCTGTCTCTTACTGTCAGATAGTCCCTGTTCAGTTAAGGTAGTTATTTTGTGTTCTTCATAAGCAAATTTCCCACCAAATTAGGAACTAATTTCAGAACAGTACAAGTCTGAAAAACATAGCCATGTCAGTCCATTTCCTAGTGTTTGTGATGCTTTTCCCTTGATTTTAGAGCCATTTAGCATCTATGAGCAAGGACATATCTGTGATCTGCAGGATTTCCTGTGTTATGACAGAGGCTCACAGTGTCTTTCTTGGTGTCAGTATGAGTCCAAAGAGAGCTGCTGTTCTTTCACAGGTCCAAACATTAGTTGCTTTAGTCAGCTGTAAATTTGTGTTGCCTAGTTTTCATATATTTTCTGGCTTATCCTTGGGGTTTTTTTCCAGTCTTCCTAAAATTGTCTTTATATCTTTTCTGAAATAGGTATCTTCTGGCTCTTCTACACCCCATTTTAGGTAATATTGGAGAGTTATCACCTTCTTGCATTTTTCACTTCTAAAGTATTGAGGAGCATGCTTCAATTTTGAAACCGGCTAGTTTTTCCCTAGCAGATTGTATTTTCAGTCCAAAGTTCTCAAATGTGGCTAAATTCTGGTCAAGTCATGATGAGACTTAATAATGTGTAACATCTTTCCCAGTAACACTCTCAAATCTAATTTGCTTAAAATTAAGGCCAAGGATTGTTAATATTCTCTTAAACTGGAGACTATACATCAAAGGTCTGAAAAATATGCTGGGGGAGGAGAAAATACCACTAGGAATGGGAGGCCAGGAAATTATATCACTGCTGCAAATGGTCCCGATTCCCTTCCCACCCGGTGAAACACATATTTCTCCTGCTTCTCTTTTTCCACTGGGTCACTTTCTGTCCCAGTTAATAATTCATAAAGGTAGGTAAACTTTTTTCCACATCCCTAATGGATTCAATACAGTACATGCTCCTGGGACTGTACTTCAATTTGCTGCGTAAACATGGAAATCTTTCACAGCAATTTCACACTCCTGTAAAACTCTATGCTAGTACTTTAGTTAGGATTTGGATTTATTTTTTTCTCTAGTCCACATATGTCTTTGTAGCTGAGTCATCTCATTGCTACTGTAAATGGCCACACAAGCTAAGTCTTGAGGGCTTCCATATGAGTCCATAAGGATGCTCCTTTCCACTGCATGTGTGGAAGTCCTGAAAATAGCAGTAATATTTTTCTGATCTGCTAGATAGATAGAAACAGTTTGTTGTGCTCCCTGATTTGAGTGATGTTACACTGTTGTTGAGGCAAACCTCTGTGGTACAGAGTACCGCAGTCTGTTGGTACCACAGAGACTCAGTCTGTTGTTGCCCAGGGGGCTAGCAGCAAGAACCTGCAAAGGTCTGGTGACACTGAGTTCCCACCCGAAGACTCGGGTATTGACCATCTACACAGTATTCTTGTAAAGTTGCAATATTATTAAACAGAAGTATTGGTTCACTTTGTCTCTACAGTGTCATTCTTGAAAAAAACAAAGCCAAACAAACCAAAAAAACCCAACCTCCCCTCCCCAAACCTAATTTCCAAAATTACATCCACCATAATATTAGCACAGTGCACTGCTGATTCCTCAGTTGCACGTGTGATCTCTGAGGTACAGCACAACCAAAGACTAGAGAGCCAGAGTCTTCCTGACTGGGGTTGTTAACAAGAGAAGCTCATTACTTTTACCAGTTAACCCAGTCACGTTCTCAGGCACCATCACAGTTGGGATTCAAAGGCAACATATGACAGAAAAATAGTTTAATATTATGCATGTGGCATGACTGTCCAAAATGCAGTGACCAAGCACCAAGTTCAGATCTTGCACTGATCTCTATAGACTCTTTTCTGGTCTCTTCCAGACAAATGGATAGATACAGGTGGTATAGATGTAGACAACATTCATGCCACATTTTCCTCCATATTTATCTTCTCTTACC